TATATGTATATGTATATATATGTATACATGTATATATATACATATATATATTTATATGTATTCTTCTCCTGCTGCACCCATCGGTCCTGCAGGTCCAGAGGGAGGAGAAGGGTAAGAATAAACCAGTAAATATTATTTCTTAGCTTTTTCAAGCCCTTAGAATTGAGCTTGGTTTATGGGTTTTTTTTTTTTTTGTATCCATTCCTTTCCAGGGAAGAGAGCCCTCCTCCACCTGTGGTCTATTCCCGCTACACGGACGACGTCCTCAGAGATGTGGTGAAGAAGTTGGAGGAGCGGACAGCGCTTCTCCGAGAGAAAGTGATAGACCCATATGCCACTTCTCCAGAGGTCACTCCACCCGTCAGTGAGTACAAACTATCTATCCATCCATCCATCCATCCATCCATCCATGGGTCAAACCCCGGGAGAAGGACCGAAAGTGGAATAAGTTTAACCGATCTCACCATCTCTCTCTCTCTGTCCGACCAGCACCTATCCTGAAGAAGGAGGACTACGTCAGACTGAAGGAGGAAGAGAGAGTTGCAAAAGAAGAAGCTGAAAGAAAGAAGGCAGAGGAGGCGGCCCGAAAGGCAGAGGAGATAAAGAAAAAGAATGAAGAGAAGAGACTTGAAGCTGAGAAGAAAGCCAAAGAAGAGAGGCTGGCAGAGGAGGCCAGGAGAAAGGCAAAGAGATTCCCCGAACTCAGCTGCTTCTGCTGCGATCTCCTCTTCCAACCACTGGAGAACATGATGGATTCAGTTGTAGGGAGCACGATTGACCCGTTCACAGGTCAGGTCGCATGACTACGACGTACACACATTTACGCATGTGAATACTGAAACGTAACATACCTGCTGTCTCTGCAGATCGTCGTTACATTGCCTGGATGACCCTAGTGGCAGTGGCGTTCAACTACAACCTGTGGTTCTGTTCGGCCCGGTTGGCGTTTCCTTACCATAATGAAACTCTGAATCCCTACTGGGTTTTTTTCGACATTCTCAGTGATGTAGTGAATGTCACCGACATTGTATTTTGGCAGCCCAGGCTTCAGTTTGTCAAAGCTGGTGACATCATAGTAAGTCATAACTCTGAATGGTTCTACTTTGTCTCGAATGTATCGTTTTTTGTTTTTTTTTGTATTTCTTTATTTTTTTTATGTAATTTTAACGCTTTTATTGTCTGCAGACAAACAGAAAAATGACCAAAGTTCATTACAGGGAATCGCAGAGATTCAAGGTAAGAAAGTAGAACACAAACTGATACAATTTTGATTTTAGTGGCATTTTGGCAGTTTATTAAAAGACTAGTGTTGAACAGTTAATATTTTATAATGCCACACAATCTAGACTAGGATTGTGTTTCCCCAAACCAAAAAATCAATCTGTCTATCCATCCATCCATCCATCCATCCATACATACATCCATCCATCCATCCATCCATCCATACATCCATCCATCCATACATACATACATACATCCATACATACATCCATTCATACATCCATACATCCATACATCCATCCATACATCCATATATCCATCCATCCATACATACATCCATACATACATCCATTCATACATCCATACATCCATACATCCATCCATACATACATACATCCATACATACATACATCCATCCATACATACATCCATACATACATCCATACATACATCCATACATCCATCCATACATACATACATACATACATCCATACATCCATCCATACATCCATATATCCATCCATCCATACATACATCCATACATACATCCATACATACATCCATACATCCATACATACATCCATACATCCATCCATCCATCCATCCATCCATACATACATACATCCATCCATCCATACATCCATCCATCCATACATCCATACATCCATACATCCATACATACATACACCCATACATACATACATACATACATCTATACATCCATCCATCTATACATCTATTTATTTTGCAATGTATTCCTAACTGCAGCTTGATTTAATCAGCATCATCCCTTTCGACCTGCTCTGCCTCCACTTTGAGTTCTCTGCCGTCTACAGACTCAATCGCCTCATACGGGTAAAAGAAATGTTTTATGAAATAATGTAATTTGTAATGAAAACAAGAAAATTGTTGGACTGTTTTTTTCTCCCCGTTTTGACAAGCCTTCCCTTTATTCCAGATAGTGTCCTTTTTCGAGTTCAGCAACCGACTTGAGAGTATCCTGGCTAAGGCTTACATCTGGAGGTAAAAGTCCAAACTAATTCCGTGTATAACACTAGCATTTAATTACTTTACTTTAGCGTTGTTTCCCTAATGGCGAACACAAACTACAGATTATTTATTATACTGATGTTGCATTTGATTCGATTTTTTTTTTTTTGGCGTAAATTACATATGGTGTTGTTTTTTGTTGTGGCTTTTAACAGCCATCTCAATGCCTTTCATTCTTGCGGAACTCAAGTATACGCCCTCATGTGGCGAACTCGAGAACTAACTTAAACAATAAGTAAATAATAAATTCAAAATAAAACATCTGAGTCTGAGTGACCTATCGTTTTTCAACATTGGCAGATTATATTTCAATGAAAAACCTCAGGAGATATGATATGTCCCACTATTTGAGAAGTACGTGCTTTAACGTTACGCGTTCGTTTGCTACAGAGTGATTCGGACCACAGGCTACCTGCTCTTTGTGCTCCATCTGAACGCCTGTCTGTTCTACGTGGCCTCTGTTCACCAGGGCTTGGGGAAGACCACCTGGGTGTACAGTGGAAAAGGCTCTGCGTATGTTTCTCACCTCATGTCGGGATTTTCATGTTGCCCGTCGCTCTGTCGTGACCGTCTGCACCTTCTTGGTTCTCCCTCAGGTACCTGCGCTGCTACTACTTTGCGGTGCGCAGCCTGATCAACATCGGAGGTCTGCCGGAGCCCACCACGATCTTTGAGATTTCATTTCAGATGACAAACTTCTTCACTGGCGTCTTTGTGTTCTCCAGCTTGATTGGACAGGTAGGGTTAGAAGATTGTGTAAGGGCCTCCGATCAGATTTGTTCGTTATGGAGTGGGCAACATTTCTCTCAATTAGGCAACATTTCTCTCTTTCAGATGAGAGATGTGATCGGTGCAGCCACGGCAGGAGAGACGTATTTTAGGTCATCCATGGACGGCTGTGTTAGCTACATGAATAGGTACACCATCCCAAAACTTGTCCAGAACAGAATCCGAACCTGGTACAACTACACATGGACAGCACAGGGCATGCTGGGTAAGAATTTTGCCATTAATCTAAATCAAGGATCTTAAGTTTCCAAAGGACTTCTTAATCTTAAACTTTTGGCTTGAGGGCGCCGTGACTAGATGTTGATACCCGGGTGCGACTTATATACTAAAATATATATTTTCACATTGACAGCCGCTAGAGGGCACTCTAGGCTTGTGTACCAGTATATGCTACTCCTGTACCGCTGAAAATTTACATGTTTGTTATTTTCACACTGACAGCCTCTAGAGGGCACTGGTGCAACTTATACTCTGGAGCGACTTTTATATGTTTTTTCTTATTCATTATGCATTTTTTGGCGGGTGCAACTTATACCTCAGGGCGACTTATAGTCTGGAAAATACGGTATTTAATTTTTTAAAATTTTTATATTACCGTAATTTATATTTAAAAAAATGTTTTGATATATTTTTCTTACTGTCAAAAACGGAACTGATGTGGCCCTCATACGAACTATTGTCCCTTTAAATGCTTTTTTTATATTTGTACATGAGTGGGGATTATACAAAATTACAAATATATTGAGACGGACAATTTAGTATGCTATAAACCTCTGTTCCTCATAGATGAGTCAGAGTTGTTGGACAAGATGCCCCTGGTGATGAGAACTGCCATCGCTGTGGACATCAATCTGGCGACATTTCAGAAGATTGCGCTGTTTCAGGTGAGGCAGAATTCACTGCTTCATTTTCTCTGTTTGCATATATCCATGCAGTAGACGACAACAGAAACACCTTTAAAAAAAAAAAAGAACTTTAATGTCATGTTCAAGTCTCAGTAAAGCAATGAAAAAAAATAACTTGCTTCTTCGCAGGGCTGTGACCAGCAGATGTTGGTGGACATGCTGCTGAGGCTCAAGTCCATCGTATACCTACCTGGAGATTTTGTGGTTAAGAAAGTGTGTATCTGTGTCTGTGTGTGTGTGTGTTCAGGCTCTTTGTGATTATCCGAGTTTGACTTTTGGAGTGTCTACTTCTGCTGCCCCCTGCAGGGCGATATTGGTAAAGAGATGTACGTCATCAAAAGCGGAGCCGTGCAGGTGGTGGGAGGACCTGACAACAGCATCGTGTTTGTCACTCTGAAGGCTGGATGCGTGTTTGGAGAAATCAGGTCGGTGTGCGTCAGACGTGCTACAGCATATTTAAAAAAGCTTGGTCAGAGGTTACCGTACATACTCGACTATAAGCCAAATTTTAAACACCTAAACATAAAGATCAAATCGGGGGGTCGGCTTATAAGCCAAAGTTTAAACACCAAAACATAAAGATCAAATCGGCTTATATGCGCGTAATAACCTGGGACAGCATTTTCCATCGATCACATCATCACCGATAATAAAGACATGGTCAAAAATATCATGATACTTGTAAATAAATTCAATCCACACAATCTACAACTGATATTTAATAATTATTTTAACTGTTCCACTGATATACAGCACTGCAAATAATTTCGTCTATTCTGAATTTTGCAACAAACATTGGCGAAATGTCAGATATCAGATATTAGCATAAAGTTAGTATCGGACATCGCTAGTTAAATTATTTGCATTTGTGTAACTTAGTGTTAACGATTATAACTATAAAGCTATAACTAACAAATATTACTACTATAATATTATACTATTTTATAATATACCATTGATTTTTGTGACAAATCAATTTTCAAATAACAGCATCGTTAGTTTGTTAAGTCTTCGATGCTCAACATCTATTCTCATCTAAATACCTAAAGCGTCAATCCGCTCTCTAACTCCTTCAGTTTACTACAGTCTGCTAAAGATGGAGGAAACAGACGCACTGCTAACGTCAAAGCACACGGTTTTGCTAACCTTTTTGTCCTGGAGAAGAAGGACCTGTTTGACATCCTGGTCCACTACCCTGAATCTCAGAAAGTCTTGGCCAGGAAGGGGAGGTGAGACCAAGGCAGCTGTGTGAAGTGAAAATGACCAAATTATATGATTGTTAATTAATGTGTGTGTGTGTGCTGTTCTAGACAACTGCTAAAAGCTAAAGGTCCCGCAGCTGCTAAAGCAGCTGAGGAGAAACAGAAAGGTCTGGCTCTGTTTGGACAAAAACCACCAACACCTAAAATGGTCAGAGCCTTTGCTGACTTGCGAAAAAAAGGTTTACTGGAAAAACTGAAGGTAATATCTTTGATGATGTCCAATGTCTAGTCATTATTAGCCGTTATTTATTTAGCAAAATACTCGTTAAATTACTGTGCGCATCTTTTCTCCACTGTCCACAGAAAAACGCAGCAGAGATGAAGCGAAAACACAGTTTGAAATAATGCAGAGTTTATATATATGTATATATATATACATATATATGTATGTATGTATATACAGTACATATATATGTATGTATGTATATATGTATATATATGTATACAAAGAAAATAAATGAAGTGCTACCCTAAACCCTCAGAGTCTCGTCAGCAGTGAAAGCAAATGAATCTGCCCACGTAGCATTAAATGTTCTGTGTTATTGAGAAACTTTTCTTTTACATGTGTAGAAAAATGCATCTTTAACACAGTTCAGTGGAAAATATTAATATTTATTATATGTACTTTTTTCTTTTTTAATCATAATGGCATATCAATGCAATGTAAGGTGGCCTTTTTTTCTTTTTTTAATCATAATGGCAAGTGAGGTACTGCCTCCTCTGACTGCACATCAATGCAATGTAAGGTGGCCTATAAATAGCCCGTTTTTCGCTTTGGCTTTCGCTTACGGCCATACCACCCTGAACACGCCCGATCTCGTCTGATCTCGGAAGCTAAGCAGGGTCGGGCCTGGTTAGTACTTGGATGGGAGACCGCCTGGGAATACCAGGTGCTGTAAGCTTTTTCGACCAGTAGGAGGTGCCCTTTCTTTCTCAAACTGCCACCTTTTCAACGTTTTGCTTATGCAGGGCATGGTCCGAACTTTGACGTGTACCAGACATACAAAGTAATCGAAATTTCGTTTCTCACTGTCACTATGTAGACAAGACAGGACAAAACCTTAAAGTGCAACACTAGTGTTTAGTTTTGTACAGTACGGTGCAATCAAGTGTGATCAGGTAAAATAAATTGTAAGAAGTCAAATTAGAGCTGGAATTCTCTTTTATTGTGTTTTTTAATTTCAGCAAGAATCCAAATACCAGTTAATTTGTGTTGTTTATGTCATTGAGTTAATTGCATGCAAATGAAAAATTCAATATATAGAATTTGCACCTGGAAACTACTACCTAGTGTATGAATGTGATATAAGATCTAAAATGTTATTAAGAAACTTATATGTCTATTTATTTCTGTTTTTAATTTAATTTTTATTTATTTGTACACATCTACGTTTTCTTTTTACAATAATAATTACATTTACGTAATTTTCTCTCCCTGGTTTGCGCATGCGTAACAAGAGCGTTCTAATGATACCGGAAATGTGTGCTCTGGTTTTTCAAACAAACATTGGTCGTCGTGGAGATGTCTTACGAGGGGAAAATAAACTTGATACAAAGGAACTAAAGGTTCGTGTTTTAACATTATATTGTGTTTTCTACATAATGAAGAAGTTTTATGTGACGTTCATCAATTTTATGGGTTATGTCTTAGCCCACCTCTGTTGAGTGAAAATTTCATGTCCAGTTGCCTAATGGAAGTCTTCAACGAAGAAAATAGTTATTGTTTTTCTTTTAACTCTTGGATTTGTCACTGTTTATACATGTATGGAAATGTGAGGTGACCCTCCAGTCATTTGTGCTTGAGACCCCCGCTCCAAAGTAGAACAACAGAAATAAGTGAATGATAAATGTATTTGAAGATATCTATTGATAGATTGTTATACAAATATGTGTAAACTGAAGTAAACATTGACAATTTGCTGGCGGTTGTAAGGAGATCGACAGTAGTAGGTGTGTGGTAATGTGAATTACTGACTTATGTACTTATAGTGAAATAGCAAATTGCACGTGATTTGATTTTTTCAATTGTACAGTCAGCTTTTCGTTCGGGTTAAATGGCATTTCATCTGAGTTGACTTAACTGATACCACAGCATTGTTGCAGGTTCGATTTCAGCAGCAACATCATCCTGTTTTTTCACAGACAAGCACATGTTTCATGAACGTCTTCGACCTGAGGGTAACATTGTATTACTCGTCACGGGCAACATAAACAAATTAATACTGTAAAAGAAACGAGATTGCAGATAGTACACGGCTTCCTGATTACTGCTAAAGAAATAGTTTGCACACAGTATTATAGGAATGAAATACTGAAGGAAACAGTGAATCACAGACAGCATCTTTTGTAGAGCTTGTGATAACGAGGAACTTTTTTTGTTGTTGTTGTTGTTCATTTGTCAATATTCCAGAGAAGTCCTGAAGAAAGCTGAGGAGCACAGCAGGCACATCAACAACATCCAGACGTCTGTAGACCTCACCATGTTCATCAGTGCCTCAAAGGTCTTTTCAATTATTGATGTGATAACAGTTGTTAAAAAATGTTGGCCATTAAGGAGAACGCCCAGAGAAGAGTTTTGTTGTTAACCTTAAAAATGAAATTAGTTTTTGACGGTGAATTAAGAAAAGAGTTGTCTATG